ATTCTTGGAGCATCATTGCAATAGCAACAGAATTCAAGCCACCAAAAACCAGCAACCTTCAGCACTGCTGCTATGGAGGAGGCTATACCTTCACTCCAGTCACAAATTATCTGGGATAAAAGGGGACCCAAGATGCTTCTGCCATACTTTCTTTCTCTGAGATGCACTCACTCCCACCAATAATCTGCAATACGATTCAGGTGTATATATGCAGGCCAGTAAGAATACATAATGGCAGAAATGCTGTTCCTTAGTGCAGTAGGTCACACAAGAGTAGGCCTGATTCAGTGACAGTGTGGTGAGTAAACTTCTTCGGGAGTTCCATTGATTCAACAAATGGACATACTTAATTTGCAACTAACTTTAGCATAGTAAGTTGCAACCAGAGTAGGCCCATTTGATTCAATGGAACTTAGAGCTGACTCAATGAATCTCAAATGATTAAGTAGGCCTATTCTAGTGTGTCTCACTATACGAAGTAATAGGACTTCTGCCTATTTCTTACAGAATAAAGTATTGCACGAAAGGCAGCCAGGTTATGAGAAACCCTGGAATATTTATTGATCATGGCTTTGTGTAGTTTCGTGTGGAACTTTTCATCTATTGTTCCAAAGGGGACAAAAAGTGAAGTCTTGTAAAAAGTTAAATAAATTTGCAAGGTAAAGGCATATTTTCACTTGCAAGATGTCAAATAGTATAACTGGAAGACATAATGATGCAAATGTTCTTTTAGAATGCTTAAACTGTTAATATGCTTAATACCTTACTGAATCAAGGTAGGCTCTGTCCTCGCATGCATTCTTTACATGTGACAGCTACATGATTTCATATGATGCAACTTTCAGTATAGTTCAGTAATTAACCTTTATACAGGCAGTAAATGGTGTGTCCCCCTCCCCTTAAATTCTTGCCTGCTTGGAAATAGATTGGAACTATCACTCATTCTGCACAGACCAGATGTTTCAGACTTTAGAGCTTAAAGCCAGCCTTTAGCATTCACAGAGTTCATAGCTAGAGGCATAGATAGTAGTGTACAGTCTTCCTAGGGATATTAATTTAAACTGCATGTTTCCACTGCCATTTTTTAAAAGCCATCATTTCCTATGAGGATGGCCTGTAGTGTTTTTTAGGACGGACGCTGCTGACTATTTGGATGTGGGGGTAAAACATAATTCAGATAAATGTGCAATTCCTGCTGTTATGATAGGTTCTCTCCTTTGTTATTTGTAACTCCTGAATTAGACATGCAAATGAAGTTGTTGGTTTCATTCTAGAGATAATCCTAATGACACACACTTCTCATTTTAATGTTCTTTCAGAATTATACCTCTTCACCACATCATTTTCTTTATTTTCTTTAGTGACACCCTAAATCAGTTTAATCAATGGAGTTTTAGATTATCTTCCAGATTCTCTTTGTTTTTAATCTGGTGCTAATTTGTTTGAAGCATCACCTATAAAACAAGTGTTTGTTTAGTCGTTAAGTCATGTCCGACTCTTCGTGACCCCATGGACCAGAGCACACCAGGCCCTCCTATCTTCCACTGCCTCCCAGAGTTGGGTCAAATTCATGTTGGTAGCTTCGATGACACTGTCCGACCATCTCATCCTCTGTCGTCCCCTTTTCCTCTTGCCTTCACACTTTCCTAACATCAAGGTCTTTTCCAAGGATTCTTCTCTTCTCATGAGATGGCCAAAGTATTGGAGCCTCAGCTTCAGGATCTGTCCTTCCATAAAGCAAGTACTTGTGGTTTAAAGCAGTGGTCCCCAACCTTGGGCCTCCAGATGTTCTTGGACTACAACACCCAGAAGCCTTCACCACCACCTCTGCTGGCTAGGATTTCTGGGAGTTGAAGTCCAAGAACATCTGGAGGCCCAAGGTTGGGGACCACTGGTTTAAAGGACCCTGCACTGGTGCGATGATGTCCCCCTCCCCCCCCACAAAAGAAACAGAAGAGAATTTAATTGATGCTATTTGGAATTTGTTGCAGATACATAAAGATAATCCTGATACATCAAACAATAGGTAAACAGTTTAGATCTTCATGGTCATGTTTTCTGTAGGGAAAATGAAGAGGAAAATTCCCACATTAATTCTTTAATATGCTTCCGAGTTGCTAGTTACTTTTCTCTATTTCTTGTTTCTGTAAAAACACACATACTGTATATAGCAGCCAGGTCTGAGAAGAACAGAAGAATGGCTACTCTGCCTTTTCCCATGTGGTGGATTTCTACTAAAATCATAAGCCAAAATCTGCTTCTCCCTCCCACCCCCATAAGAACAAAAATGTCATGTATCTTTTTGTCCAATCGTATGATATACTCTGCAAGGAGAAATGGCTGGAACAATGACAGTCATAAATCTGGAAGGATCCTCAAGAGTCATCAAGTCTAATCCCCATCAAAACAGGAAATACAACTAGTACATCTCTGACAGATGGCCATTCAAACTTTTTCCAAACCTCCAGTGAAGGACACACACACCCATTCTCCAAAGCAGTCCATTCCACTGTCAAGCAGGTCTTACTGTCAGAAGAAAGAGTGTGGCTTTAATAAATACAGTACAGGAAATAAAAGGTAAGTAATGGCCATGCTGGGCTAGTGTTAAATACATAAATATACAAAGTGTGAATTACACAGAATGCAGCTGTGCACCTGCACCTTTTAAAATTTACAATATAGGAGACCCGAATTTGGATCTGGAGCACCATGGGTTTGCCCACTTGCTGTTTGTTCTCCAAAATAACTGCCCAAAGGAGCTGGGTTGGCCTTTTCCTCATGTCATCCTGCCAGCAGACAGAGATCTTTCTTTTCAGGCAGGCCTTTAAGTGATGAGAGGGAGTTGCAGGAATGTTGCGTCTATAGAAATTTAGATTTTTTTTGTTTTGTTTTAAAATGTCTTTAAAAGTATTTTAATGGTGAATTTTAATATTGTTCTTTAATATTACATCTTATGGTATTTTAAATTGTGAATACTGGGCAAAAAAGCTATTGGCATAACTTTACACTGGCATAGCTCAGACTGGGTGCCAGAAACATTTAATTTAAACTCATGGAAAAGTTTTCTGTCCCTTCTTTCATGCTGGAAGGGTTCCTAGGGCTCATTTGTCTTAGAGGGAGTCTCAGGACAGTTATGACCCACCCAGTCAAAGCTTGCCCTTGTAATGCAAAAGTGTGAGCTGATTAATACATATTTGTGTATTATTTATTTTATTTAAAATATTTTTTTATTCCACATTTCTTCTTAAAAAGAACCCAAGGTGCAGGAAAATTACTGAATGCAACAGCTGGCCTAAAAATAACAGGGCATTCACAATAGTAGCTAGATATATAATGATGATGATGTGCTGTATATAGGTAGAGGATACTTAGAAGTGGTTTATCATCCCCTTCAGGGGGCACCCTGGGACTGAGTAGCCAGCCCAAGGCCAACACTTTCCTCCCCAGAAGGCACTGTGAGAAATTCAACTCTCAGCCTCTGGTTCCAGCTGGATATATAGACCCCAATATATAGTCAGAGGAAGACTGAGACTCCTTATCAAGTGTAAGGATGTGTCGCCAGAGACCAAGACCATCCACACTCTTGTATGGGTGTGAAAGCTGGACAGTAAAGAAAGCTGGCAGGAAAAAAAATGATTCATTTCAAATACGGTACTGGATGAAAGCTTGAACTGCCAGAAAGCCAAACAAATGGGCCCTAAATCAAATCAAGGCTGAACTACCACTGGATGTACAATTGATGAAACAGAGGCTGTCATACTTTGAGCACATCATGAGAAGGCAGGATTCTCTGGAAAAGACAGTAACACAGGTTGCGAGTGATAAGAATCACACCATATGTAGAGTTCACCAGGAAAAAGGACAGTATATGGAACCATGAAGTTCAAAACCTTTTCCTTGTTCAGACCTTAAATGTGCTCCTTCTCTCCTCCTGCATAGCCCTCCTGAAAAAAACATTTGATCCTCATAACCATCTGAATGTCAGTGAAGGCTTCTAAATCAGGGTCACACCGACTCCTGGGCTCTGTCATGGCTCAGGAATATGCTTCAAGAAGAACTGGGCAGTGTTGTTTAAAAATTAAGCCCAATGCTATGTTGTACCCTCTCCTTTTAAATGACGCTCATTTTTTCCCCCTCTATTGTTTTCTATCTTTGTAAGGTCTTTATAATTTATGCCGTTTATATATAATTTTTGATTGTTAGCTGCCTAGAGTGGTCCTGAGCTGACTAGATAGGCGGGATATAAATAAAATAAATAAATAAAATAAACAATGAAGTTCAAAACCTTTTCCTTGTTCAGACCTTAAATGTACTCCTTCTCTCCTCCTGCATAGCCCTCCTGAAAAAACCAATTGATCCCCATAACCATCCGAATGTCAGTGAAGGCTTCTAAATCAGGGTCACACCGACTCCTGGACTCTGCCATGGCTCAGGAATATGCTTCAAGAAGAACTGGGCGGTGTTGTTTAAAAATTAAGCCCAATGCTATGTTGTACCCTCTCCTTTGCTTCACGCTTGACCAGTAGCTGGGGAATGAGAAGGCTGAGGATTTCATGACCCTGCCCGACTCTAGCCAATGGGTGAGAGAGAGGAGCACCAGAAGCCTCTCTCCCGTGTCCCAAAGTCGAGTCCCGTCGCTGACTCCCGAATAGGCAAAGGAGAAGGCAGAACGGCAAGAGGCAATCCTGACTGGGCCGTCAGCCCCAGAAGGGAACCGGCCACTTCACCTTGAGTTTATCAACACCGCTTGCCCCTTTTTCTTTCTTACGGCCGTGATTTAGGTGAAGCGAGTCTTGCTTCTAAATTTAATCCAGAAGGGCGGGGGGGAACCACCCAAGGTCCCAACATTCGCCAGAATAACTCGGCTGGTTTTGTAATTCCTTGGCTTGAAGGAGGCCAGGACGCCTTTTACTGGACACCCAACCACCCTTGCCTGCCTCCCGTTTCTTCCTGAAGTGACGACGCTCATTTGAGGCGGTGTGAACGCGGGAGGGAGGCTGCCAGAGGTCTTCGGGCTGGCGGTGGGGAGCCTCTCTACCCCCGCCTGGGCTGGAAAGCCTCTCCGTTGCAGCCTCTGTGGCTTTAAGAGGGAGGGAAGGCCCGGTCGGGAGGAGCGGCCACCGTCCCGCAGCGGCCGCTTTGGGCGGAGAGAGGCGAAGGAGGAAGCGCCCGCCCGCCGCCTGCCCAGCTCCTCACACGCACCCGCCAGCACTCGCCCCAGCCTCCGAGCCCCGCCACCGCCACCACCATGGTGAAGATCGTGACCGTCAAAACCAAGCCCTACACCGACCAGAAGCCCGGCACCAGCGGCCTCCGCAAGCGGGTCAAGGTGTTCCAAGGCAATGCCAACTACGCGGAGAATTTCATCCAGAGCATTATCTCCACCATTGACCCGGCCCAGCGGCAGGAGACCACGCTGGTGGTGGGGGGCGACGGCCGCTTTTACATGAAGGAGGCGATCCAGCTCATCCTCCGCATCGCGGCCGCCAACGGGGTAAGTACGGGCCCTGGCAAGGGTTCCCATCGCCCCGCTTCCTTTCGCTTCCTTTACCGGGTGCCCGCGAGTTTGCAAACCCGTTGCACCCAATGTTAAGTCAAGGTTTGCCGAATGTCCTGTGGACTGGCTTTGCCTCTCCCCCTCGCTTCCCCGGATCCCTGCGACACGAATATTAAGTCAAGGTTTGCAGAATGTCCTGTGGACTGGCTTTGCCTCCCCCCCCCCTCGCTTCCCCGGATCCCTGCGACACGACACCCCCTCGCTTCCCCGGATCCCTGCGACACGACGATCCTCTCCTTCAGGGGAACGAGAATGAGGTCAGAATTGCACAGAAGGGAAGCAATGCCCGAAGGGCTCCAAACTGAAGGTCATGCTTTGGGCTGTGACTGGGCTTTTGGCTGTGTTCGGGGAACACCCACCACCAGCCTGATGACTTGACAGGTTCTTTTGCTTTGCCTCCTTGCCTACTCAGACCTTCCCTTTGCTGGCTCCTTGTTTTGAATAGAATTCTACTGAATGTGGGGGATTAATAAAGCAAAGGTCTTGCTAGAAGCGGAGGAAAGAGAACCTGGGAATCTGAAACACCTTTCCTAATTTGTCTAGAAGGGAAGGAAACACTTGGGCTGATTCCACTGCAGAAGCTTAAATAAAAAAAGATAAATAAAGCAAGGGCAAATTGGTGAGTCACAAGAAGGAGCCACAATGCCCAGAATGTGCGCTGCTTTTCATGCACGCAAGATTCTGGGTTGCCTTAACTACCTTCACAAGTAGTAAAAGATGTCCTTAAGTCACTTTCATTGTGGAAGGACTGAGGAAGGAGGCACATAACAGAGTGAATGGAGGCACCGGTGAACTTACTGTAATAGCGCTTAGATAAGTCAATTATTTTTACACACTGACCTGTTGCCATTAGAGGAGGAGTGTTTGTGATGGCACTGCTTTTGCCTACTGCAAATGGCTCTGCAATCTTTGACATTTAAGTTAACCTTTCAGGCACTGGAGATACAGTTTCTCTTACTTTGCTGCAAGGATTCGTGCGTCTCATTGAGTCAGGCCAAAGGTTACGATGCTTTAAAAATAAAATTGGATTTTCATGACTTTGATGTCTCGATATCCTTTTAAATAGCAAAAAACACATTCCTAACAATCTCTTTCTGCTTGTGCAATTGCAATTATTTGCAGAGGCATGAGTTGTGCAAAAACCTGCAGTTAAGTCACAAATGACAGTTAAAAGTGAACGACTGTAGAAGTTGATTGGGTTCTTTGCCTGGAACCCAGCTTTCACAATGGCTTTGATGCCAATGTTATTGCTAGGCCTATGGACATGTTATCAGAATTAACTGCTTCCCTTGCAGCAACTGTGGGCAGCCTGCCTGACAGGAGACGAAACAACTATTTAGCATTAGTTATTTCAAAGAAACCATGCTTCAGGTGTATGTGTAATACAATGGGTAACAGGGCAGGAGCAATAAACAAATGGAATTTTCTTCCTCGTTGAAATTCAGAATGAACAAAGTTTTAAAACATTTTAAAGTGAATATGTGTCTTTCCAAAGTGAAGCGTGAAATATATAGATTTTGAAACATTGTATTTCTCTGCCATGGGAAGAGTTGCACAATCTGTGCATAGTCCATCATCCATGTGTTACAATCTATAAGATCTTGATTCTTCTCCTGGACACTATTCATGGCAAATAGGTGCATAAATTTTGAAATGGTGGGTCATAGATCCTTCGTCTGTCCTGATCAAGCACTTTTAGTTTTCCAGCCAAGTCATGGTTATTACTTGCAACCAGTCTAGGATGTATGATAGTTACTAACATTTATACAGTATGCTGCTTTCAAATATTCCAAGAGGCTTTGCATGGATTACCTAACTACTGTATACAATAGTCCTGTAAGGTAAGCCCACATGATTTCCCCATGTACAGTAGACATGGGGGTTGAGGCTGGGAGAGGCTTAGGTAAAGCAACCTGGTGAGTTTATTACAGAAGAGAAACAGCTGAACTGGGGCTCCTTGATTTATAACTCGTTTTCTTAGCCACTGTGCCATACCTGTACATAGTTCCTGTCCTTTTTAACACTCAGCATTATTCATACTTTTGTATTCTATTCTATTCTATTCTAGCCATTGAATCGAAATCAAGTGGTAAGGGGGCAATCCTGTGGGAAAGGACACAGTATTCTGATATTGGAACCTTTGTTCTGTCCAAAGACTGGCCTGCAGGGCAGAAATCCAGAACAGATTTGCCCCCACCTGTGTAATTTGTTTTCTTACTTTGTGAGAAACAACAACAATTAATCAGACCAAGGAATGTGGTTGGAGACTAGGAAAGCTGTATATCAGGGTGGGCAACTGTCACATTGCCCAGGGGATGAATTTCTGACCTCCAGGCTCCACATGGTCTGCAACAAATGGTCATAGCCTGAAAAGAACAAAATGAGAAATCCGCTTCTAATTGTGAAAGCTTGGATTGGATGGGGGTGTTAAACATAGTGGGGGGAGGGCTGTAATCTGTTTGAAAGATGAATTCCAACTTCTGGAGCCTTTGGGGTACAAGAATACACTTTTTTTCAGGAAAACATTTGCGGGGGGTGGGGAGGCCATGAAAGCAAGCCTTCAGGGGTGTGATGTGGTCCTGTGGCTACACTTTGCTTACACCTGATGTAGATTCAGCAAACCAATATCCTCTCCCCTGCCCAGTGCCACATGCCCCATAGGCACCTCTGACCTTCCAGAGTCTTAACCTCATGAAACTGTACCACTGTGAAAACTGTAAGGTGGCTGGGAAGGACTAGGCAGAGATCCCAGGATCTGAATGCTCTTGAAGTTAACATCTGAGACAGGAGTAAGTAACTCCAAATGTTCTTGGCCTACAGCTTACATCAGCCCTAGCCACCACTGCCCCTAGTCAGAGGTGATGAAGGGTTATAATCCAGAAACAGCTAAAGGGCCACAAGTTGCCTCCTTGTTTGAAACCTAAGACAGTGATTCCTACTCCCATCTGCAAGACAATGAGGTACCCTTCTTGGAGCCAAGGCGGCACTCTAATTGCCTGCCTACAGAACACAAGTTTGCTGCTCATAGGCCAGATCAATGTAACACATTATATATGAGGTGCTCCACCAGGACAGAGATGTAGAAGGCGTTTTCTGTCTTCCTCCTGCTGCTTTGACTCCATCCGTCTCAGTCACTGTAGTCAGTGGCAGGGGGTGATGAGAGTTGCAGTCCAATATTTGTTTTATTTTATATGCTGCCTTTCTTCCCATAGGGGATAGGGGGTGATGAGAGTTGCAATATTTGTTTATTTTACATGCTGACTTCCCATAGGGGATTCAAGAAGCTACACAATAAATACCATTAAAAACATTAAGACACAACACACACAAAATTAAACATAGAAGAATATTTTAAAAACACTTTTAAAAACATATTTAAAATTTCTAAATACAATAAATGAAGTATTCCAGAAACTCCCACTTATCGCTTAAAAGACTGCCTGAAAAGGAAGGTCTCTGTCTGATGACAGAAGGACAATATCAGCTACAATAGTGGTAGTAGGTATAAACAGTTTACATGTAAACTCCAAAAATGTGGATCATAGCCATTGTGCATTGCAAGAAACTGCCTATTGACAGTTTCTTGATAAAAGCTGATTGCACTTTTGCACATCTGTTTACTTTCAATGCAGGGTAATCATCTCTGTTTCACACCCTAGACACATACTAATACTAAACATAATGACCTAAGTCCATAATGGCCTGTGTAGTGTAACATAGGCTTAAGTTGTAAGTTTCAGTCTATTCCTTGCTGTAAATAACGAATCCCAACAATCTGAAGCAAGCACTCACAGATCAAACTATTGCAGCACGGCATCTTTATTTACCAGCAAGGAGTGGTCCAAAACTTTGCTTGCATTGCACAACACAACTTTGGCCAATGTATGCTCTTAAACAAATATGTTTGTTTAAGAGTGGGGATACGTATGGCCAACTTTGGAATATTTGTACTGACCCTAAGTTCAGGCTAGTTTATAGAACATTGGCATACTTTGAATATCACCTCGTCTTAATTTCATGAAAGTATGAGGCATTCTCAGAATCTAGACTCACCAGAGTAACTTCAGAGCAACCTTTTGGAAGATCTTAATTTCATGAAAGTATGAGACATTCTCAGAATCTAGAAAAGTGAAATCCTCCAGATTAGGCTGGACTCAACAGAGTAACTTCAGAGCAACCTTTTGGAAGGGTGTTATAAGAAAACCTTATAATGTCAGAGAAGTGTATAGGTTCATTCAAAACCAATCGTATTTTACTAGGATTGTTAGTACATAACACGTGTTCTTCCATTTATAAGATTCTGAAGGATGCTACAGGAATGTTGCTTTTTCCTTAACCACAGAGGCCCCCAGAATAAGAATCATTAAAGAAAACTGTTTTCAATGGAAGGGAAGATAAATCTTTTTTTTTTTTTTAGCTGGGAAATAATTGGTAGAGCCTTAAACTAGAATCATTAGTTTTCAGAAATGGCTAAGCAGCTGTACAGATCTCTCTTGTCTGGAAGGTGTACAAACCAGCCACTCATTAGGTTTGGCTTCAGCTAAATATAAAGGCTAGTTTGTCTAGATTTTGGAAGTTTACCCAGAGGATCTTAATGGAACATGGCATATTTCCAGCAGACTGAGCAACACTGCAATAGCAGTGCCGCCACTTACATCAGAGCAATACTAAGTAGTTAAGGATGAGTAAAAATTTAGGCTACCTTAGAGTCCTTGGTTTCTGCTTCTTTAATTTTGCATTACAGCAATTTTCTAATCAATATATGGCTTCAGGCCTAAATAGACTGGTGAGGGAGTAAGCCCATTGGACCACAGTGGGGCATACTTCTCAACAAACATGTATAGGTCTATACTTTATATTCCTGAATATATAGTAGAAGTAGCTCTGAGTTCTTTTAAAAAAATATCTTGAACATAGTTGCAAAATTTTTCTGTATT